CGGAATCGAACCCGGGACCCTTCAGTCCACAGGCTGACGCTTTATCCAAATTGGCTAGGGCTATTCTTGAGTTCTTTTCCTCTGAGTTAGAGAAAAATTCTGGTTTTGTAATGATTAATAGTTTAAGGAGATTAAAAGTATTTATGAATTAAATGTTATTTTAAAAATATGTACAGTAGTCCCCCTTATCCATGGTTTCAGTTACCTGCAGTCAACCACAGTCTGAAAATATTAAATGGAAAATTTTGAACTAAGTCATTCATAAGTGTTAAATTGTGCACTATTCTGAGTAGCATGATGAAATCTAACACAGTCCCGCTACATCCTGCCCCGACACGAGTCATCCTTTATCCACACTCACTGTATGCGCTGGCTACTTATTAGCTGTTTTGGTTATCAGATTGACTGTTGCAGTACCACAGTGCTTGTGTTCAGGTAATCCTTATTTTACTTAATAATGGCCCCACAGCACAAGAGTGGTGCTGCTGGCAATGTAGATATGCCAAAGAAGAGCCATAATGTGCTTCCTTTAAGTGAAAAGGTATGTATGTATAGGAAAAAACATAGTACATATAGAGTTCAGTATTATCCATGATTTCAGGCATCCCCTCGGGGTCTTGGAACGTATCCCCTGCAGATAAGGAGGGACTACTGTGTGTGAGTGTGTGTGTGTGTGTGTGTGTGTGTGTGTGTGTGTGTAGTATCTAATTTCTAAATCATATAGCTAGGATTTTGGAGCCACTCAAATGTTTCAGTAACACAGGATGGTTGGAAAAGAATAATTCTGAGATATAGTCATCAAGCACATGCCTATGTTTTACATTGTATACAGCAACAGTGAAGTTTATAAGAATTAAAATTATGGATTGAGTGATTAAAATATAATACATCTCTATTGGGAATTTCAGAGTATTGAATTAAAACTTGTCTTTTAAAATTAATTTTTAAAAACCCTGACCAATTCTAGGTTAACTAGGATATGTTTTTTGCATCTATTCAAAATTTAAATGTAGACTCAATGTAAAATATGTATTTGTAAGAATGAATTTCTTTTAGGTTTTATTGACTAAAATGATGGCAGCATTAAACTTGTAGTTATGATTTAAAATATGAGTATTGCTATAAATTCATAGTAGCTCCAGAGTTACCTCATATTTAGACAATGTTGAATAATATGTAGCCTATAAAATGTTAAATATCATTGTGTGTACTGAACAACATCAGAAAATTGTAGTCTCAATTCTGCACGAAGTTGTATTGTTGGTACATAGTGCTCTTTAAGAACTTAGAGATGCAGTGGGGAGGTATGATTTTTTTATGAGAGTTTAATTAGTGAAAGTCATTCCTTTGCTAGGAAAAATTATCTGAAGATTTGGGGAATGCTCAAATTGCTAATCGTTGTGCTCTAGGAGTAATCCCAGGGAGACAGTTCTGAAATATGATTAGAATTCAGTGAGTGGAAATATCATTAAATTTACTGTCTTTTGGATAGAGTCTATGAATAGGAGGGCAAGCTCAGAAGACAGCAAAGGGAAACCCAAAGCATGAGGAATCAGGTGGCTGGCTTGCTGGGAGAGAGAGTTGGGATTGGTCTGTTTCCTGAAGCAGGCATGTCTTTATTGTGGAGGTGGCTGTGTGAGATTAGCTTAGTCTGATATCATTAAATATTTGAGTCATCTAACTATCTTCCAGGCACTGTCCCTTGTTTACCCTACCACCTTCTCTGTGTAGGAGAGCATCATCTGATGTGAGCATTCTGGTCTACTAGGAATTTGCACTTCACATTATGAAGAAATAAATTGAAAAAATAGTAAACAAATTGAAAAAATAACCTTGTTCATATGTATATGTGTTTATATTTCTGTGAGCTTGCTTAAAGTTAGTTGGTCCTGTGAGAAAGATGTGCTTACAGTCTGTTTCATCGGATGTTTCTTTGTAGCTAGTCTTCAAGTGGTTGTTTGTATTGCTCTGAACCTTAACATTTGAAAACTGTAACAACTTGGACCATTTAACTTGTGTGAACTCATATGTAAAATGAGAATTTTGACCTAATGATCTTCAGAATTCATCCTAGTTCTAAATCTTTATGAATTCATGACCAATGTGCTCAGTTGTATCACTATAAACTTATATCCTATATAATAAAAGCCTAATATGCTAAGTGTCTGGTCGTCTGTTCAACCAATCAAAGCGTAATATGCTAATGATATGCTAAGGCTGCTCAACTGCTCACTATGATGTGCACTGACCACCAGGGGGCAGACACTCCAACCTTTAGGTTAGCTTGCTGCTGAGGTCCGGCTGAGAATGAGATGGGCCGGACACGCCCTGGAGCCCTCCCATGGTCCCTCCCCAGCTGGCCAACCTCCCGCGTCCCTCCCCAGCACCAGTGGGGTCCCTCAGCTTGGCCTGCGCCCTCTCACAATCTGGGACCCCCTTGGGGGATGTCGGAGAGCTGATTTAGGCCCGATCCTGCAGGCCAGGCCGAGGGACCCCACTGGTGCACAAATTCGTGCACTGGGCCTCTAGTAGGTAATAAGAGTTAGAAGGGATTTTAATTAATTAATTAATTTTAAAAATATTTTTATTGATTTCAGAGAGGAAGGAAGAGGGAGAGATAGAAACATCAATGATGAGAGAATCATTGATTGGCTGCCTCCTGCATGCCCCCCACTGGGGATGGAGCCTGCAACCTGGGCATGTGCCCTTCACCGGAATCGAACCTGGGACCCTTTAGTCTGCAGGCCGATGCTCTATCCACCGAGCCAAACCAGCTAGGGCTAGAAGGGATTTTAGAGAGTTAAAATATCATTGTTTAGGTTGATAGTACCAATATAACTTAAAGTTGCATATTTTAACAAGCCTTGTTTTGTTTGGTTCTAAAATACAGGGTGCAATATTTTACATGTTGCTGCTGGACTAGAAGTTTCTTAAGGATAGGGCCAGTGTCTTCTGAGTACAGGATAGGGCCTGTCACAGAAAAGCCAATAAATGCTTATGGAATGAGTATGAATACCTAGGACAAGGTATTTATGACATAGCTAAACATGGTTTGTTTATTAGTAACTTTTTAAAGTATTTTTTATTACGGCAAATTTCCAACATGTGTAAGAATAGAAAGAATAATATTGTCCTAGTCCATCTGGGTTGCTATAACAGAAAACCATTGATTGGTGGCTTATAAGTAGTGAAAATTTATTGCTCACAGTTTTGGAGGCTGAAAGTCCAAGGTAAGTATGGTCAGGTTCTGATGAGGGCCCTCTTCCTGCTTGCTGACTGTTGACTTCTCATTGCATCCTCATAAGGTGGAAGGGTTGAGCCAGATTTCTGGCGTCTCTTATAAGGGCACTAATCCCAGTCATGAGAGCCCTGACCTCATGACCTAATAATCTCCCTTAGGCCCACCTCCTAAAACCATCACTTTGGGGGTTAGGATTTCAACATATGAATTTTGGGAGACACAAACATTCAGACCATAGCAATGAACCTCCATTACCCATTACCCTGCTTCAATAGTCATGATTATTCTTGCTTCACCTTTATCTCCTCCCACTCCATTCTTCTTGTATTATTTTGAAGCAAATCACAGACTTTATATTAGTTAATCTGTAACGATTCCAGAGTGTATCTCTCAAAGCTAAGGACTTAAAAAATCATTGTCATACCTTTGTTACACCTGAAAGAATGACTTGGTTTTGATAAGTATTACAATTTCCACTTTAAAATATCTGAACTAAATATTTCCAAGAAACCTGTTATGTGTACTTTCCAGATAGTAACACTTGGACATAAAGCAATAGGATTAATTTTTGTTTTGTTCTGTTTAATATTTAGGCTACCAACATGACGGCTGAAGAAACAGTGAATGTGAAAGAGGTCGAAATCATTAAGCTAATGTTAGACTTTTTGAATTCAAAGAAGCTTCACATTAGTATGTTGGCTCTTGAGAAGGAAAGTGGAGTCATAAATGGCCTGTTTTCAGATGATATGCTTTTCCTGAGGTATGAATTCATTAGCTGTGAGGTGTGTGGCTCCTTTAAAGCAATGTTAAGTATCAATAAGGTAATATGTATAACACAGATAGTTTTTTATAGTCATGAAACGGCTATGTAAGTATAATTTAAAAAAAAAGTGTTTGTGTTTATATTGGAACATTTACCAAACAATGTTTTCTGTAGAATGGTTTCAGTAGCAAGATCTAGAGGTCCATTAAAAAAAACGGGAGTTACAGCTACGTTGTGGTTGTGGCATTGTTAAAAAAATATTTGAGTAAGGAAGCAGGGACTCCAGAAAGAGAAAATATTTCTGAAATATCATTTTTTAGACATAGAAATAAAACATTCTCATTATATAAACATATTCATTATAGAAAATATAGAAAAATAAGGAAGAAAAATCACCCTACAATCTAGATGCTCTACTGACAATTTTCTTGCATATTAAAAAATAACAGCAATTAAGAAAAAAACCCAGCAATTATATTGCATTTATAGTTTAGTATCCTGCTTTATCCATCATAAGGATTCTGTATGTAATTGTAAATTTACACCTTAAAAATTTTCAAATTTTATTGATTTCCTAATGGTTCCTCTATTTTTAGACAATAAGTTGTTTGCAAGTTTTCTTAAATAAATGCTCTACTGAGCACCTTTTTTTTCTGTATCTTGGATTAGAACAAGATTCTTGGAAATGGAATTGCAGAGCAAAAGGGAATTAACGTTTGCCAAAATGGAAAGCTAAATATATCCTAACTTGAATTGGACAGAAAAAGAAAAGCCCAAATTTCTGGACAGAAATGTATTTTATGCTTACGTGATAAAAATACCAAATATCCTTGACAAGTTGTACAGATTCTTGGACATGTGGCATTTTATGACTTAGGAAGCCTTAAGAAATGAAGCGGTCCTAGTTCATAGAAAAGGAACTTTAAAAAAATTTTTTTTAATTGAGTGCAGAGAGGAGGGAGGAGGGTAGAGGGAGGGGGAGGATGGAGGGAGGAAGAGAGAGAGAGAGAGAGAGAAACATCAATGATGAGAGAGAATCACTGATTGGCTGCCTCCTGCACGCCCCACACTGGGGAACTTAGGCCACAATATGTTAGGAACCAATCCTCAGGCAGTCTGGCCTTGTCTTTCCATGTAGCAGTGGCTCTCAAATACCCCCTTGAAACCTGTTGGTTTGTGAAGAAGTTTTGCTGGTCTGAGGAAAAATGCATGGAATTACAGAATAGTAAGTTTTTCATTAAACAAAATGTATTCATCTTAAAGGGCTAGCCTTTGAAATGGCCTTCTTCCTACATTTATTTACTTATTTATAAATAATTTTTTTCTTAAAGTTTTATATTTTTATTGACTTCAGAGAGGAAAGGAGAGGGAGAGAGAGATAAAAACATTAATATTATAGAGAATCATTGATCAGTTGCCTCCTGCATGCTCCTTACTGGGGATGAAGCCCACAACCCGGGCATGTGCCCTGAACTGGAATCGAACCTGTGACCTCCTGTTTCATAGGTTGATGCTCAGCCACTGAGCCACACCGGCTGGGCTTTCCTACATTTTTAAATATTAAAATGCCTCTTTATAAAATGATTATATATTCATATTGCGATTGCTTTTTATTAATATTCCTTCTTTGCAGAATCAAAAGTTGGCAATCCTGTGTAGATCCTCCTGCCATCCCTTCCTTTTTAAATCTTACTGTTCAAAATATCCAAAAGGAGGGAAATTGCTGTTATAAAAGAAGAGTGGCAATAGGAATGCCTTGTAACTTAAAAGTTCCCATAGGACCTAAAGTAGGATAAAACCTGATCTTACTCCTTCCTGTTTCCTTCTCAGACTGTAGACTGTAGTACTAAATGCCTCAAAGATGATTCACAATTTAGAGCAGGATTTTTCAACCTCTGCACTATCAACATTTTGTGCAAGATAATCCTTTGTTGTGTATGTGCTTGGGGGTGAGGGCGTCCTATGCATTGTAGGATATTTAGCAGCATCTCTGACTATACCCAGTAGATGTCAGTAGCACCCCAGTTGTGACAACCAAAAATATCTCCAGACATTGCCAAATTGTCCCCAGTTGAGAAACACTGAGACAGGGACTTAACCACACACTAGCCCGTAAGTAATAGAGAGTAATGAAAAAACACGTATGTTAGAATGAGGAGTGGTTGTAGATTCACAAATGCTTCTCGTATAGCATATGTTGTTACAAATCAGTTGTGAAAAAAAATTTTATTATAGTGGTTGAGGAACCAAGTAAAAAGTTCATCTCATTACAGACTTCATACTGAGGCTTTAATGCTATTTTGTCATCTATTCTGCTTTTAATCAGTGTAACCCAGATTTGATAAATACATGGATTTCCCCTTTATATAGGCAGCTAATCCTTGATGGTCAATGGGATGAAGTCCTTCAGTTCATTCAGCCTCTAGAATGTATGGAAAAATTTGACAAAAAAAGGTAAGATTTCATCTGAAGGTTTTTTTTTTTAAATTAATGTTTCATAACTTGCTGTTTTTAATGTGTTTATTGATATTTTTTAGAGAGAAAGGGAGTGCGAGGGAGAAAAACATCGATGAGAGAGAAACATTGATGGGCTGCCTCCTGCACACCCCCTATTGAATTTTGATTTCATATTAGGTTACATTTGACATCTTCCATAAAAACTTGATTTTTGTTTAGAATTAATTTTGGAAGTAGAAATCCTTCCTTCTAGTATTAAATTGTGACTACTTGCTACTGAAATTATTTTTATTATGGCTTCAGTGTGATAAGCTTCATAACATATTTTAAGAATTTCCTGAAAGCAAAGGTACTTATAGTAACTTACAATTACATTTGATTTATGAGACATTGGAAAGTTAAATTTTTTAAAGTTCTTTTTTAAAATAAATAATTACTTCTTTAAGACACACTTACCTTGTTTTAACAGCTTCAGGAACTTGAGTTCCATTTCCAGTCTTTGACATTGCTATAATTCAGTTTTTTAATCATTTTAATGCTTCATACTTTATTTTCCGTAGGTTCCGTTACATTATCCTGAAGCAGAAGTTTTTAGAAGCTTTATGTGTTAACAATGCAATGTCATCAGAAGATGAGCCCCAGCATGTAAGATTTTTATTCCTGAAGGTTTGCGCCCTAGTCTTGTTTCAGTCATAGTACTTTTTATTCACTAAAACAAACGATTAGTGTCATGAGTTTTTGAGGTGTTTTTGAGCCACGATCGGATGAGCTCTGCTCCTGGGCAGTGGTAGTACTTTCTGCCTGTAGTGAGTCTAAGTTCGTCCCGTGACGTTGGCAGAGATGGTAACTGAATGGCTGGCTGGTGCGGAGAACGTGCTCCCGTCCTGTTGAGGTGGTTTAGGCAGCAGTAGAGGTGTGACTTGATGACTCGACAGCAGTGCTGCTTCTCTCGTCGCAGAAGCGGATGTGTTTGCCTCTTCTTTCTGTCTGCTCGTATTTCCTTTGATGCAGAAATGTTTTTTTGATAAAATGGTTATCTTTATGACAATATAAATTCAATGATACTAAATTCTTTTTGATTAGAGAATTACTATTCAAGTTTTAATATTACTTATGGTTACATCTAAAACCAGTGAAACTTTTCTTAAGTGCCAGTAAGTTTTCATTGAAATAAACCATAAAGAAATTACAGTGAGGACTTTCATATATAATAGAGACATGTTTGCCAGATAATGATGTTTACTAGTAAAAGTGAAAGAACACTGGATTGTAAGTCACAGCCCTAATTTTTATTGTCTTTGCCACTAATTGAATTACTTTGATTAAATATGCATCCTAACTTTTCCTACACATAAGATGTAAAAGCTGGAGTACGTAAGCTGTAAGGTTCCTTACATCATTAAGAGCTTATGGATAAAAATAAGTAACAGCATATGACTAATATCATATTTACTATACAAATTATTGTAATTTATCTCTCAGCTAAACCTCCTTTTGTTCTGTCTCTGCATGGTTCTTGTAGCAAATGGACTGTCCGATGTTCCTTCTCTTGATTCTCTTTCTTTCCCCATACAAATTTTCCTAAGCAAGTTTGAGAATGGCTCTTTTGCTTTTTGGATAAGCTGGAGTGGCAGCAAGTTATATAGACAGTTGAATATTGGTATGCTTCAGTTTTCATTTTTAGAAAACTCAATTATTACCCTCAAAATTATACATTTGAAAATAATAGTCAAGCCTGAATTACAACACTGTTTTTATAGATAAAAGCTTAATGTGCTAATTCATCAAAATAATTTAATCTTTTTATTTTAGTAGTGAAAAATATTTTGGTTTCTGCTTTGAAAGTTGTTAAGTATCCTAAAAATCCTAAGTGTATTCTGTGACACTAGAGGTTATCCTTTTGCAGTTGAATAGTTTACAACAGTATGTGAAGTATCTTTGTATTTGAATAAAACACTCTCATTGCTTTCATATCTGACATCTCTTTATAGTGATACCTTATATTTTCTTACAGCTGGAATTTACCATGCAAGAAGCCGTGCAATGTTTACATGCCCTGGAAGAGTACTGCCCTTCTAAAGATGACTATAGCAAGCTCTGTTTGCTTTTGACTTTGCCTCGTCTGACCAATCACGCTGAATTTAAGGACTGGAATCCCAGCACGGCACGAGTTCACTGTTTCGAAGAGGCTTGTGTCATGGTTGCAGAATTCATTCCTGCTGATAGGAAGCTGAGTGAGGCAGGTTTTAAAGCAAGTAATAATCGTTTATTTCAGCTTGTAATGAAAGGCCTACTTTATGAGTGCTGCGTAGAATTTTGTCAAAGTAAAGCAACCGGAGAAGAAATCACAGAAAGCGAAGTACTTCTTGGCATCGACCTCTTATGTGGCAATGGTTGTGACGATTTGGATCTGAGTTTATTGTCATGGCTTCAGAATCTCCCCTCTTCTGTCTTCTCTTGTGCTTTTGAACAGAAAATGCTTAATATTCATGTTGATAAACTCCTGAAACCCACAAAAGCTGCATACGCTGATCTTTTGACTCCTCTTATCAGCAAACTTTCTCCCTATCCATCATCTCCAATGAGAAGGCCTCAATCAGCTGATGCCTATATGACCCGCTCTCTGAATCCTGCTTTAGATGGCCTCACTTGTGGACTGACCAGTCACGATAAGAGAATCTCAGACCTTGGGAACAAAACTTCTCCAATGTCACACTCCTTTGCTAACTTCCATTATCCAGGGGTACAAAACCTCAGTAGAAGTCTCATGCTTGAGAATACAGAATGTCACAGTATTTATGAGGAATCCCCTGAACGGTAAGATTTTGCTCATAAAAAATTAGGAAATCTCCACAAGTCTGAGATAATCTAATGGTTGTGTGTGGGTGTGGGTGTTTTCCTTAAAAAATTTTTTTATTGATTTGGGAGAGAGAGAGAGAGAGAAATTTGTTGTTCCCCTTATTTATGCATTCATTGGTTGATTCTTGTATGTGCCTTGACCGGTGATCATAACATGCTATAGGAGAGCTACTGTGCTGTGGATAAAGTATAAACATTTACTTTGGAAAAAGTTTACCTTGTTTTAAAAAATATTTGAGGTGTAAGTAAAACAATATTGGGAAGCTCAATTATGTTAAAGATGCCACATGAAGAGACTCCTACATGTTTGATGTCAGTATTCTCTTAAAAATATTCGAGTGTTTACTACGCGCTAGCACCATGCTACATCCGGGATACAATGATTGAGTTACTATAGCGAACAAGAAGATAAACAGGAAAGAAAGGTCTGTAAAGGAGTGTGTAGTATTTTGAAGGATATTTTTTCACTTGAACACAAAACTCAAAGCAAAAAGGAAGAAAAATCAGTTGAAATATGTAAGCTTTTGCTATTAAAAATAATAGTCTCAAAATTAAATGTCCCCCCCTCCAAAAAAAACCCCCCACAATCTTTAGGCATGGGGCAGCATTGGAGTGGGAGTGTGAAGACCTGGACTCAAGTCCAAGCTTTATTTACTCGCTGTGCAATTTCAGGAAAAGCACTTGTTTTTTAAATCTGTATCCTCATCTGTAAAATGGGAGTTCTAACCTATTTCACAGGTTATTATGAAAGTTAAATGACATAATACCTATGGAAGTATTATATAAATTTCAAAATTAAATCAGATGTTAACTTTATGAGGGTCATTTGATTCTCTTTCTGGACAGTTAACAACTCTTACAAGTTCTATTCATCTTATGGTCATTACCAGTTTAAAGTCTAGTAGCTAAAAACTCTTCCTAGGTCTCTCTACTTCCTCCTCTCGGTGCATGTGTGTATGTAGGTTTAGGTACCTCCGAGTATAAGGCTCCTAACTAGTGATGCCTTTGTGAAGATGACTAACTAGCTCTGCTTTCCTGAACCCTTTATTTTGATATGTCTGACATATCAAATGTTAAATGTTAATTGTTTTATTTTATTTTAAATATATTTTTATTGATTTCAGAGAGGAAGGGAGAGGGAGAGAGAGATAGAAACATCAATGATGAGAGAGAATCATTGATTGACTGCCCCCTGCATGCCCCACACTGAGGATCGAGCCTGCAACCCAGACATGTGCTCTGACCAGAAGTTGAACCGTGATCTCCTGGTTCATAGCTCTGACGCTCAACCACTGAGCCATGCCAGCTGGGCTGTTAATTATTTTAAATTAAAATTTCTCTAACTGAAATATATTTTCCTTCACCCCCACCTCTTCCCTTTTGTTTTCTTGCACCTTTCTGGAAGAAGTGATACACCTGTGGAGGCACAGCGACCTATCAACAGTGAAATCCTGGGCCAGAGTTCAGTTTCAGAAAAGGAGCCTGCAAATGGAGCACAGAATCCAGGACCAGATAGGCAAGAAAAGAATGAGGTAATACTTACTACCCCACTGTCCTTTAGAGCGGCGGTCACCAACCGGTGGTCCGTGAGGTCCGAAAGGTTGGCGACCTTTAGAGTGCCTCTCTTTGTAAGAAGTAATAGTATTTCGAGTGAAGTAGAAAAAGTACTATTGAAAATACAAATGCATATTTGTACCAAACAATAGAACCCCAAAATATATGAAGGGAGAAATAGACAGTTATGCAGTAATATTTGGAGACTTAATACCCCATTTACAATAATGGATAAAACACCTAAACAAATTATCAATAAGGATATAGAATACTTTAACAACAGTATAAACCATCTAGACGTAACAGACATCTATAAAACACCCCAACAATAGCAGAATACACGTTCTTCTCAAGGGCACATGCAGTGTTCTTCAGGATAAACTGTATGATAGGACCCAAAACAAAGCTCAATAAATTTTAAGATTGGAATTATGCAAAATATCTTCTCTGCCTACAATAGAATGAAGGTAGAAATTAATAACAGAAGGAAAATTGGAAAATTCATAAATTTGTCAAAATGCAATAATACTCTTAACCAATGGGTCAAAGAAGAAATCACAAGGGAAATTAGAATACCAAAACATACAATAGTGCCAATATTGGAATTCAGTAAATATTTAAGTCCTGTGAGTTTGAGTGCTATGCAGTTCTTTTAGAGGAGTGAAGTAGGAATGCTGAGACTGTTAAGTTGAACACCCATTTATCCCATATAAAACCTGAACTAAAGTATTGTTTTTGAGGGAAATTTTATAAGTTTCTCTCTAGAGTAACTTATTAAACAATTTACTTGCTTAAATTAAGTGTGTTGGACAAGGTTAATATTATGTTTATTAAATATTAATGCAATCCCTCAGTAATTATTTTTTTTCAAGTAATGTAGGTAGATTCTTATTAGTCTTTATCTACACTCATTTTCTCTAACCATGTTCCCCTTGTGACTGCTACAATTTGTATTTTTATCTTGGGTTAGTTAGGGATCCAGGATGACCATTCATTTTGGCCAGTCTCTTGCTGTGGAAAAAAGCAATTGACCAATCTACTTGACTTTAAGACTCATGGATGCTGTTTTTCAAAATGCAATATATTTAGTATTTTCTAATTGTTAAATATAGCTAATTGTATATTTTATTCAGCATTTAGAGAAGTTTCTCTTGAGTAGGAACATATTCAATCACAGTCTGCTCAAATATATTTTTCTAAAATTTTTAAGCTTCGAGACTCAACAGAACAATTTCAAGAATATTACAGGCAAAGATTACGCTATCAACAGCATTTAGAACAGAAGGAGCAACAGCGACAGATATACCAACAGATGCTGCTTGAAGGAGGTGTCAATCAGGAGGATGGGCCTGACCAGCAGCAGAACCTCACCGAGCAGTTCCTTAACAGGTTGGTCTTTCAGTCATTTTTTTAAACATGAGGAATTATTTAAAAGCTACTAGAAACATGCAATAAGTGTTATTTTCCATGTAGGGTTTGAAATTTTAAAGGTTTTTTACGTGTTTCGAGTAATGTGGAGTTACATATCTTCAGACACATCACTCTGAGGACTCATCTAGTTGAGCCCTTCCCTTTAAAGTCCTTTCACATCTAAGCAGCCAGAGCCCCAGAGTGTGTGGTTCAGCAGACAGGCTGGAAGCAGACTGCCAGGTGGATCCTGGGGAGCTGAGGACCGAGGGGAAGTTACTTAGCTTCTTTTTGCTTGTGTTCTCATCTACTTCACAGGTTGCCATGAAGATTAAATGAGTTCACATATGTAAAGTGCTTAGAACAGTACTGTCATATGCAGTAAGCATTATATTAAGTGTGAGCTGTTATTTTGAGTGCTTACACATACAGATTCTTTTTAATTCAGTGTTTTTAAATGATTCTTATAATTTCTGCAAGATTATGAACTTATATTATTTTTAATTATAGGAGATACATATAAAACATGTTTTAAAATTAATAAACCAGAATATGTATATTTAAATGATCGAGGGTTGTCGGCAGGTTAAATGAGTTAATGTATATCCACTTACTTAGACTAATTCCTGGCAAATAGGAAGTGTGCCATAATTGTTGGCTATCATCAGGATTGTGATTAGGCAGTACAGTGGTGACTGCCAGTTCTTTCCTTGGCTCAATAATATTGGAAGTTACCTGCTTGACACTCTGAGGTTTGTGCAAGTCAGCAAGCCTGAAATTGATCCTGTTTTCAAACCTTCACACGAGGAATGTTTATAATGGTAACCTAGAGTCTAAGTAAGCCTCCAAAATTCAATTTGAGGATTGTTTTCTTATCACCTCTGATCAAGTCAGTGGCTCTCAGAATTATTCTAATTTGATGAATTGCCACTTCTGGTTCTTGGATGTCTTTTTCATATTCATAAAAATTATGGTTGCAATTTGACTTCCAGACCATTTCATTTTCAGTGAAAGCAGATATTTAGATTGTCTGAAGGTGAAGTCGCAAGGTGATCCCAGTAGTGGTGGGGATGTACTTCCTTAGAAAAACAAACTATTCAAAATGGCCTTTCCTTCCTTTAAAGACAATTATAAATATAATTAAAATTATTTCTTGTAATTTAGATGTAGTATAGAATATATTTATTGTTTAAAAGCTATTCTCAATTTCTTTAGAGGTAAGAATTTAAAATTACATTAAAAGGTATGTTAAAAAAATCCATAGGATAACCAGTTCTATTATAAGTATGAATGATGTTTATCCTAAACTTTTGTAAATTAGCTTTACATAAATTCTCTGTTGTTCTTTTAACCTTTTCTTACCTAATATGTTTTCTAACCCTTTAATGTAATACTTTCATTCAATTTTTTTCTGGGTCCTTACTTTTATATATCTGAGCCTGTACTGGGATTTTAAAGTACCTGTCTAATACCAAGGACAAATCAAATATAGATAGAATCTACAAATTAAAATATGCATTTTCCTCTTAATGTTTTATTCTTCCAAATCATTCTGGCAACAGAGTTTAGTTTTCATATTTAAATTTTGCTTCTTCCTTCCAAGAGGTTTAGAAAAAGAAAGAGAAAGAGAGTTATGTTATATAATAGATCTTAATGAAAAAAATCAGCCAAAGCATGACAGGATTTTTATTAACAGTACTCTATCATCACTTTATACCTTTTGATATTTTGTTTCTATTAATACTAATAATTGGCATCACTGATTTGGCACTTACTATAGGCATATTCTGCTCCTCCCCAATCCTCGCCACTTAAATTTTTATTTTTTAAATCCTCATCCAAGGATATGTTTTTATTGAGTTTTAGAAAGAGAGGAAGGGAGAGAGAGAGAAACCTCAATGTGAGAGAGATTCATCGATCGGCTCCTGTATGTGCCCCTACCAGGAATCAAGCCAGCAACCTTTTGTTGTACAGGACTGTGCTCCAACACACTGAGCCACATGGCCAAGGCCATTCTCTCCACTTTTAGAGACTCAAAATGATGTTAGCATTGTCAGTTCTTTATACTTAGCACTTCCTAAATTTATTTGACCCCAGATTCTTTTTTTTTAATGGGGAGCACTTCATAGGATTAGTTTCATAGAATATTTGGGAAATGCTGCCTACTTAAATTTTTTTAACTGATAAATATTTAGTAATGGCTACCAATTCCTATAATATTCAACTGCTCTTTTAAAGTCTTGTTAAAGCTTTACACATACACACGCGCGCGAACACACACACACACACACACAATAATGTTAGAAAACACAATGAATCACCCCTTGTGCAGTCCTCTCTCATAGTGAAACTAGGCTGGAGAAAAGGATGCTGGGCCAGTTGTGGGTCTAAATCTTAAGAAAGCCTGGCAGCTCCCTTTTGTGCCCTCACGGTCTCCGAGTCCAACATCAGGAGTCAGGTTTTCCTAATGTAGAGACTTGTGGTGCAGTAAAAACCCCGAGGCTGACTTGTTTTGCTCCCTGGTACGTACCTGGATCAAAGTCTGGCAAATAGACTTTGTAGAATGAATGAATGTGTGACAAATAGGGTTGGCACTTGACTTTGTCCCATCATGGCCTGCTCTAGTCATTTATTTCCTAGTTGACCTGAGATTACTAGACAGATGAAATGCAATGGTTTGTTGTGTTTTATTGGTGATAAATTTTGGAAGTGGTGATATTTTTATTGACTTCTTTGTGAAATTTAGTTTAAAATTGAGAATTAAACCAAAGTTATACCAGAGAAGAAACAGATTTTTTTTCTGTTTTTATGGCAAAAGGTGCTTTTAAGAAGTCAATGATACCCATCATGCCTATCTCCTTTAAAGTGACATACTGTAGAAAAGTGTGGGTTTCTTTCAGTATCTTGGTTATGTCTTCAGCTGAAGATGGTAACTTTTTAGTACTAAACTTGCCAGAGGTTATTTATTATATGTGCATGTTTTATTTATCTTCTCAAACTTTTCATCTTCTATGTTAGGAATGTTATTTAGTTTATATTTTAATATACTTATGTTTTTTTATCTTATAGGTCCATTCAAAAGCTTGGTGAATTAAATATTGGAATGGATAGCCTTGGTAGTGAGGTGTCCACACTCAACCAGCAATGTAATGGGAGCAAAAGCAATGGATCTAATAATTCTTCTATCATTAGTTTTTCTACACCACCCCAAGATTCTAGCCAGAGATTAACACATGATGCTTCAAATATTTACACGAGCACTCCTCGTAATCCGGGATCCACAAATCACATACCTTTTCCTGAGGAATCCTCTTGTGGAAACCAAGTGTAAGTGCTTTCCTTTGTAAAATCTGGAAATATTAACTTCTATTAATAGAAGTATAGAAATTCAAACTTCTTTTTGAAGCCTTACAATAACAGTTTTTGGAGCTCATTTACTTAGTACCAAATTTTTTTCTAATATGCCTTCATTTATATATTCTCTTCTACTAAATGTCTCTTAAGAGACTATATTCCCCTGTTTTTCTTTTTTTTCTTTCTTATCACACCAGGACAGTTCTATATTTTTGTAAGCCATCTTACTCAGAGATGATAGTTTTAGCCTTTATCTTCTCCCTGATTTTTCTTTTCTTTCTTTCTTTTATTTATTTATTTTTTGCCATTGGTATCTTTCAACAAATAATCTGATTCACAGACTTCAAAGGCACAAAGAAGATGTTTTATAACTTGGTGGAATGATTGTCTGAGACGGTCTTGTAGCTCTGACTCCTTCACAGCTGAAGACTTCTTGCATATCTGTGTTTTTACTAGTCAGGGAGAGTCTTTTGTCTTGCTGTCTTAAGTAAACAAGTTTTAATTTATGCATTGGGAAAAGTTAAGGAAACTTTTCTTCATTTATTCTTTTTTTTTTTTAAAATATATTCCATTGACCTTTCACAGAGAGGAAGGGAGAGAGACAGAGAGCCAGAAACATCGATGAGAGAGAAACATCGATCAGCTGCCTCCCGCACATCTCCCACTGGGGATGTGCCCGCAACCCAGGCACATGCCCCCGACCGGAATCGAACCCGGGACCCTTCAGTCCGCAGGCCGACGCTCCATCCACTGAGCCAAACCGGCCTCGGCTCTTCATTTATTCTTAACATTAAACACTTTAGAGTGGTTCATTTGAAAATGCATAACTTGCTTTTGCATTTGGATGTTTATATATTTAGTATAAAAAACTGGTTTTATACTAGAGCATAAGTTTATCGAATGTATGCTTCTTTATTATAGTTCCTGTTACACTTGTGTATCCCCAAAAGTAGAACTCATATTTTAAAATTTAATTTTTATCAAAGTAATATACATACATGGTTTAAAAAGACAAATAGCACATTTCATATAATATAAAAGAAAATCCCATTTACTCATCTTTGTCCATGATTTCTACTTCCGGTAGGCTGCCCATTTTCAACCCAGGCAGCTGTTTCTTTTGCTTTATGTCAAAATTTCTGAATAACATGCTTCTGTTATATTTTTATTATCCACCAATTTCCTGCCAATTAGATTTAGCTACTATACTCCTCACTCACAACACATTCATTTTGTCTACTCCTTTCCAATATATATCCATTTTTGTTTAAATTGGTATTCAGCGTTAACGTGGTAAATGTTATTTACAATTGGGTCATGTAGTATAATGGATTGCATTTCCTTTTCATACTACTCTTTGTTTTCCATGGGACAGTAAGTGCCTCATTTTTGGTGTGCATGTGTATGTGTGCACATGCTAGTTCTCTTAGTACCTGTCACTAACCCATCTGCAGATGCTTTGACAGGACTATAAAATTATAAAACCTCTCTTACTACAGTAAAAACGATCAGGTACTTCCTCTTTCTCATTTTCCCCCCTTTGAGACATCCCTCTGTCTAGGATCACTCCTGCTTGATTTTATGTTCCTTGTTTCTAGGCCATTGTATTCAGTCCTAGAGAATCCTGGGACTTCCCTTGATTATCCTCCTGGGAATTTCCTTTGCCTCTTCTTTCTATTGGATCCCCATTTTCAGGATCTCATGTAGTTTCATGAAAAGAGTTTCATCAGAAGTGAAGTTTCTGAGACCTGGAATGTCAACATAGTTCACATTTGATTTGTTAGCACAGCTGAGTATAGAATTCTAGGATGGAAATCATTCCTCAGAGTTTCAAAGGCATTGCTACATTTCCGTGTTCTTGTCAAGAAGTCTGATACCATTTTGACCTGATCCTTGGTATGAGGCCTGCTGATTTTTCCACCCTGGATTTTTTTTTTCTGCTACCATATTTTTATTTTCTAAGCTCTTTCTTATTCTCTAATTTTTCTTAAATTGTTTTTAGATCTTTTCCTTGTTTCCTGGATTCTTATTTACTCTTATATCTCCAACGATTTTAATTATAGCTTTGAAGCATTTGTTTCCTGAATTGCCTCTCTTCTTATACATTCCTTTTTCTGTTTGTTTTAGTCTCTGGATTTTATGTAGGAGGCTTTTTTCAAGTGTTTGGGAAACCTTGACTATCTGTAAAAAGTGAGGCATTAAAAAATGCTGATTGGGAGGAAGATCTACATATATGAATGGATCTGTCTACCTGTTGACCTCACAAGGAAATGATTGAGTGGAAACATTGTTTTATGGTGGGACCCTCAATTGTCAGTTTCTGTTAGTCATTCCTCTTGGGCCAGATAATTTTCATAAAGAGCAATTTAAGTTCCTGCCTGGGATAGGATTTAATCATAGCAACCAGGATTCTGGAACTAATCAGGGGGAAGGTACTTGACATTTCACAATAAAATTTGTGAACTTTGACTTAATCTCCTTTCCAAAATGGCTCTCTCTCCCTCCTTACGACTATGCTTGCTGTTAGTGAGTTCAGAGCCACTTAATAAATAGCTCCTGAGAGTAACTTTGGGGACAGTGAGGTTCATTTGCCAAAAAAATATACATTAGAGATCAAATGGACAAATATTTAGTTAAGTTTCTGTTTTGATGTTCAGAGCAAACTTTATTTGAATTTCTACTCACGCAGCTCATCAGAACATTTGGTCATCAAGCCTCCTCCTGGAGATTCTTCAGGGAATCTGTCAAGATCAAGAGGGGAAGAGGTAATACTTTTGGGAAGGAGGTTTCATTGTTGTTATATATACTTGCAAAGTTTGCTAAGGAATTCTCAATTCAAAGAATGGACCATTATTAGAAATAATTATTATTGCTAATGCTAGGATTTATCTCAAGGTAGTTGAACTTCCACTGGGCTAAGTGAAAAGGTTGCCTCAGAAAGCACATTTGAGAGTATTTATATTAGTGGCCAATAGTGAGCTGTGCACTACTCTCTGAACCCTATGGTTAATTTATTTAGATACTATTTATGTTGCCCTGGGGTTTCTCATCAATGCATGTTTTTTGCTTTGGAACCAGACATCCTTCCCTAACCAGTATATAGCTTCCCTCTATCTTGTTTTCTATAGTTCACATTTTAACCCCATAGACAAAATCATGATTTCAGATGCTAATGGGACCAAACAGCTAACAAAAATGAATAAAATTGGCTGTTTTTGTGACAAGCACATAGGAATATTTGTCCCTTGCACAAAGATTTATGCTTGCCTAGTGTTTTCGGTCCTTTTGGTTTTCAAGAAAAGCTAGAAATGTAGATTTTTAGTTGAATTCTATTTTCAAAATGGCAACAAATTTAAAAAGTTTAAAACACACTAGAAAAGAGCAAATAAAATTTATGGCTCTGCCATTTCTGCTATAAGCAAATATTAGTAATTATATTAATGTACATAGGCCATTTAATCAGTCCTTCCCCTCCCTTTTTGTCTTATATGCCCATGCTATTCGTTTGGCAAACAGTCACATTTCTTGTATATGGATTAATAGAAATTGTAGCATTTTTAGTCAAATAAATTCATGACTAATATAAGAATTCATTCAATTACATAAGACAAACATGTGACATATCAGGCTTAGCCTCTATTATTGCATGAATACATAAAAGTTTGGGTAGAGAGTATCATAGTCTCTCATTGATATAGTCACTGTGGGTCCCAGAGCTTGATGCAACAGAGCTGAAGTGATTTGCCTTTGTGTGTGTACTTGGTATTCATACTTCACAAAGACAGGATTAGGCTGGATTTGTTGACCACACTCAGCCTCTAAGTCCCTGTTCCAGGTCTGGTCATCCCTGGTCAGGGTAGCAGGGTGCTTCAAATGCCACCAATAGCTGGAGCTCACAAAGCCTGTATGCAGAACTGCTTCAACTTGCTTCCTCAGAACAGGCTGTGGGCAGATAGGCTGACAGTTTGAAATAAAAACGAGGCTCAAATAAAATGTTCTGATTAAAATCATTTTTGCAACTTTAAGAAGGATTTTTTACAATTTCAGTTTGAAATATTAATGTATTCATTGCTGGAGATAATGGCACACTTATTTTGTTTTTTACCCTAGGTGCATTTAAGAATAGTTCTTTATATCCTGCTTTTAAAAACACAAATAGTGTTCTGTTATTTTGTATGTGTGCTATATTTTTTCCTTGACAGTTAAAGGCAACTTAATATGGGAATATTTATTGTTATATTTTGTCATAGTAAGTGAAGAAAAACTTGAATTTCTATAAACTATCTGAGCTTAGTTTAGCAATGAGTAGCAAAAAATGGAAAAATTGGGGTTAATTGGATTTGCCATTTAAAAGAATACATGATTGTAGATATTGAACATAAAGTGAACAATATAGTTGAAATGAATTGAAACTGGGATAAAGATGAATTCTTTCAAACTCATTTTTTTCCTAGGATGACTTTCTTATTCATTCTTTCCATAGGACGACAAATCAAAAAAGCAGTTTGTTTGCATTAATACCCTGGAGGACACACAGGCTGTTAGAGCAGTGGCTTTCCATCCAGGTGGTGGTCTGTATGCTGTTGGTTCAAATTCAAAAACTCTGCGAGTATGCGCCTATCCAGAGGTCATTGACCCAAGGTATGGACAGACGGCTGGTTGTACTGCCAGTCTTGGTTCAGTGTTTATTTTAGCTACATTGGTCCCTTTTGCAGAATTGTCATTCGGTAGTGTTTAATTTTTATTTCCTTTCCTTTTATTAAGTTTTAATTTTTAAAAAAATATACTTTTATTGATTTCAAAGAGGAAGAGAGAGGTAGCGAGAGATAGAAATATCAATGATGAGAGAGAATCATTGGTCAGCTGCCTCCTGCACACCCCCTACTGGAGATCGAGCTGCAACCCGGGCATGTGCCCTTGACTGGAATCCAGCCCAGGATCCTTCCTTCAGTCTGCAGGTTGACGCTCTATCCACTGTTTTCTATGTGATGTGAAATAAGAGTTTACATTAGTATAATAATGGCTTATAATTTTACTTTTGGATTTTAAATATGCTTTAACTTTATTTCTTCTAAGACTTTGAAAATTGTTATTAACATGTTGTCAGAAACTTTTTGTGCTCCCTCCCTCAAGAACAACAGTAATATAGAACTTCATACTCATGAATTTTAGCAAGCAAGAAATTGAAATATCTTTCTTAATTTTTTTTTTTTTAGTGCACATGACATCCCTAAGCAGCCAGTGGTACGTTTTAAAAGGAATAAACATCATAAAGGATCCATTTACTGTGTGGCCTGGAGTCCTTGTGGACAGTTATTAGCAACAGGATCAAACGACAAATACGTCAAAGTGTTGCCCTTCAATGCAGAGACTTGTAATGCAACAGGTAGGGCCCAAGTATGGGAGCAGTAGCTCTCCAGTGTATTTTTATCTTTTGCCCATGTTGTAGCTCTCCTATATCTCTCTACTGTCTCTAATAAAATCTAAGAATATAGCCTTAAGATTTTTAAAAAATTCTAATTGCTTGGCTGCATTCATCTGGAATTATTTTTTTTTAGTAAGTTCTTACAGGTGGCCAGGTGATGTCTAATCCCTAGAAGATTATTGTTATCAGAAAAGTAACTTTTAAATCACTACCAGAATAGTATTAATGTACATTTTCCAGAGAGCATCTGTCTTCTCTTTCATTTTCTTTGGAATAAAAATTAAGAAGGTAACTCTCCATATAGCTGTTTTATTTTATTTTATTTTTTTATTTTTTTATTTTTTAAATATATTTTATTGATTTTTTACAGAGAGGAAGGGAGAGAGATAGAGAGTTAGAAACATCGATGAGAGAGAAACATCGATCAGCTGCCTCCTGCACACTCCCTACTGGGGATGTGCCCGCAACCCAGGTACATGCCCTTGACCGGAATCGAACCTGGGACCCTTCAGTCCGCAGGCCGACGCTCTATCCACTGAGCCAAACCGGTTTCGGCTAGCTGTTTTATTTTATTAAAATTTTTTAAAAATATATTTTTATTGATTTCAGAGATGAAGGGGAGGGAGAGTGAGAGAGAAACATCAGTGATGAGAGAGAATCATTGATTGGCTGCCTTCAGCACCACGGATTGAGCCGGCAACCTGGCCATGTGCCTTGAACCGGAAATTTAACCAGTAACTTTTCGGTGCACAGGACATGCCCAAACCACTAAGCCACTCCGGCCAGGGCTGAACCAGTATTTGGATTTCTTGAAGTTCTTTGCTCAGTAAAGTGAAGTTGATTATAATACCAATCCCTAAGTGCAAATATAAACCATACCACTCTGCCATCATTCTTGGTCAGTCTTAGGGCAGTTTAGTGATCTCAAATTGTCACAGTAAGTTGAGCAGCATCTTTTTGTTTTAATTCTTATTGCTGTTTCAGGACCAGATCTGGAATTTAGTATGCATGATGGGACAATTAGAGACTTGGCATTTATGGAAGGCCCGGAAAGTGGCGGAGCTATTTTGATAAGTGCTGGAGCAGGGGATTGTAACATTTACACAACCGATTGTCAAAGAGGACAGGGCCTGCACGCTCTGAGCGGACATACCGGTATGTGATATCCGTCTCAGACGCTCTTTTCTTTTGTTCAACCCATGTTTTCCCACTTCCCCCTGCATTTCATTAGTGGGGATATTTCATCAGAACAGATTCTCCAAGACAGGACATTTTTCTTTCAAAAAGTTCAATTGTGCACATAGTAATGATAGCTGATAGTTCCCTGGGTGTTAAATTCTTTACTTGTACACATAATTCCTTCATTTAACCCTCACAACAATCTTATGAGGCAGGAAGTTTTATCTCTGTCTTAGACATGAAAAGGCAAATGACTGGCCCAATCTTACAGCTAAATGTGCGGAACTGAAATAGGACCCCAGGTCTGTCTCTTCCAGAGCTGGTGATCTAACCCACAGTCCTGTGCTTCCTCTGGAAAACTTGCCGTAATTTCAAATACAAATATATTTATATTTTCTAAAGAGAAAGAGAGGAAGGGAGAGAGAGAGAGAAAAATATTGACTTGCCCCACTTATGCATTCATTGGTTGATCCTGCACGTGTCCTGCCAAGGACAACCCACAGCCTTGGTGCAGAAGGACGATGCTCTCACCAACTACGTGAGCTGCCTGGCCAGGCCCAGATGAAAATATTTTTGTAGTACTGATTATGATATCCTAAGATACCGAATAACCAAGAAGGATTAAGCTTATTCAGTATGGTTTTGATGTGCATTTTACCGAGTGTTAATCTATATGGAAACTCTCTACCACATTGTATATTGGATTAAGCAGACCATCACGTGCCCAGTAATAAGGAGTACTTAGCTCTGAATGTGTTATAGAAAAGTGCTGTTCCACAGTATAACTGAGTGTATGATCTTTCATAGGACATATTTTAGCACTTTACACCTGGAGTGGCTGGATGATTGCTTCTGGTTCCCAAGATAAGACTGTTAGATTCTGGGATCTTCGAGTACCAAGCTGTGTTCGTGTTGTTGGCACAACATTACACGGAACTGGTAGGTTTTTCTGGAATTTATATGAATTTCTATGAGACAGAAACTATAAATTGCACTTGTGTACTTTCTCTCCTCTGCAATATGTATGTTAAAAAAGGAATAGGAACAAATGAATATATCCTGTTTTCTATGTGGTCTGAAATAAGAGTTTAGATTAGTGTAATAATGGTTTATAATTTTATTTGGGATTTTAAGTGGGATTTTAAGTATGCTTTAACTTTATATCTTCTAAGACTTTGAAAACCGTTACTCACATGTTGTCAGTACTTTTTTGCTCCCTCCCTCAAGAGCAACGGATAAACCACCATCCTCAACTTCACTGCTGAAGAGCTGCCTTGCACTTGTGTCCCTCCAGCCTGGTCCACACCGCAGCCAGAGCACCTTCCTCACAACACTTCACGGCTCCTCATCGCTCTCAGGTTACCGTGCCTGCTGGCCCGGCACCGGCACCGTGGGCCCTTCTAGTCTTAGCTCCCATCACCCGCACCTTTCCACCTTTCCTTTCAGTGCCTGACTGTGCCACTCCTCCTTCCTGCAGGGAATTCACCTGCTGTTTCCTGGGCCCGACATGTTCTTCCACGTGTCTTCTCACCGTCAGGGCCTTCTCCTCTGGAGGTTGCCAGAGAGGCCTTCTTGGGACTTCATCATTATTTTCTATCACGGATCTCCGTTGATTCCCTTCACAGCTCTTACCACTATTTAAAATTACATATTTGTTTATTGCTAGTCTCTGCCAATAGATTTTAAGTTTCACAACGGCAACAATTATATCTGTTGTAGTTCCCTGAGTAGAATTAGCACCTACCCAAATACATGGTCCAAAGGAGTAGTTATGTAATTACTCTGTTGAATAAATGAGCCTGGATTCTTTTGGCAGCATAAAAACTAAACTCATTGTGTTTTTCCCCTGCAAATCAGCTCTTGTTCCCATTTTCCCTGTTTTTGGATATTACTTCCCTTATTTCCTCATGCAACTAGATTGGATCCAGGACTCATTTTCACTCCTTTTTTTTTTTTTGCCCCCATCCAAACAGTTAATTGCCAAGTCTGTGGATTCTTTATTCATATATTTTCTGAAGTCTGTCTTTCCTCATGCAGGCCCTTATTCATCTGTTACTCTATTATTATATCTTGTTTTCCAGTGCCCTCCCTTCTACAGTCTGTCTGTTTTCATTTGATGCACATTCACATAGGTTACTCTTCCCAAAGTCCTGCTTTCTCTTCCTTAGAAACATGCATGACGACTCACTGTGCACAGGAACAGTTCACACACCCTCGCTTTGACGTTTGCGATGTTCGATGGTCTGTCCTAACCTGCCTGTTATGTCTCAGCTCCAAGCTCCTTTTATGTTAACTTGTTAAGCCAAGTCACTCAGGCCCAAATGAGCTTCCTACCCTTAATCATATTTATACTTTCTCTATAAAGCTTTTCTTATTAATTCTTCATGGCCATAATAGCTCTCTTCACTTCTCTATCAAAATTTCAAACAATGACCCTAGATGGCTTGGCTAATGAATAGAGCATCAGCCCTAGGACTGAAGGGTTACGGGTTCGATTCCAGTCAAGGGCACATATCTTGGTTGTAGAAGGCAACCAATTGATGTGTGTCTCACATCAATGCTTCTTTCTCTCTGTCTCTCTCCCTCCCTTCCACTTTCTCTAAAAATCAATGGAAAGAGGATTAACAAAACAGAAATTTTAAGCAATGGATATTTTTAATTGCATGTGTATAATACATTTAAGCACACATTCTCTCTCCCATTCTCTCTCCCCCTCTCTCTCTCCCTCCCTGCCTCTCTCTGTCTCTCTCATACCGTTTATTATTCTTCAAGATCTAACTTATATGCCTTTTTTCTGTGAAGCCTTTTCAGGCTACTTTGGTCTAGAGCAGTGTTCTTCAACCTTATTTTCCCCTGCTAAGGAGGAAAACTAAATATTTTTCCTAACAAGAGAAATTAAATGCTAAGGAATGGGGTTCTATTGGATGGGGCTGAGCTTTGAAGGCTATAAGCCATTGCTGATGGTTAGTGCTTTTTCAGCCTGAGAGTCATTTTGCACCCCCTTGGGAGCATTGTTGCCCATTGGAGATGCCTGGTCTAGAGCTAGGCTCCCACCTGTTGGCCGTTAGTCATGTGTTGCTTAGAGACATTTTCTCCCTGTGCCCTAAAACGTATTTTGTTATTTAATTTCTTGTTCTCCCAACTAGACTGTAAGCTGGGACGGGACTATTTCTGGACACTTACCCAGCATTAGGAAAAGTGGCTCTTCTATTGCACTGTAGGCAGTGCTGTCCCAGGGGTTCTCCCGGATGACAAGAGGATGGACTGTCTCATTTCTCACAGAATCTGGCTTCATACCTTGCCCCTAAAAAGGATGCAGTTGTTTATTGGCTGACTGTTAATTTGTATTTTTCCATAACTGAGCAGTGTGGCAAGCTGCATTACATTTTTAGTATGTGGCTCAGCAAACATAATTAGTTGTTGCAGTTTAGCTCTATTGATTTTTCCACACTGAACCTTCCATTCCTCCCTCCATCCAGGCAGTGCAGTGGCATCCGTAGCTGTAGATCCCAGTGGCCGTCTCTTAGCCACAGGACAAGAAGATTCTAGCTGCATGTTGTACGACATCAGAGGAGGAAGGATGGTACAAAGTTATCACCCTCATTCCAGTGATGTGCGCTCTGTTCGATTCTCTCCCGGAGCTCACTACTTGCTAACAGGATCCTACGATATGAAAATCAAGGTGACAGACCTACAAGGTGATGCAGATGGACCTTTTTCCTTTCTATAGTCTCTCCTGTTCTATTTGGGATCTCTCTTTTGTTAATCTGGTGGGATTGACCCAAAAACATTTTCAGATTTTAGTTTTATAGTATTTACTGAGCAAATTACTGGTATTGTATTGAGATGAGCAAATTATTAAATTTATGTACTCTCTGCTTCTATTTTTAAAAACTTAGTGTGTATTCTGTCTTCAGAATGTAGTTTTATTGTTAAACATTTATTAAGCAAATCTGTGTACCAACAAGGGACAGAGAGGTGAGTAAGACATGTAACTTTCTTTTGATGGCGCTCACATTTTAGACATCAGTAAAAAGTAACTCAAATGATGTAATTTGGGGTATTGGTGAGTGCTATTAAAACATTAGCCAGGGAGGAGAGAGACTGGGCTGCTAGGGAGTGCTAGTTTTGGTGGGATGGAGTGGGTCTTCCCAGGGAAGTGCCATTTGTGGAGAGACCTGAATGATGAGAAGGAACAAGCCATGCCAGGGCCCGAGGGAAGACCACAGCGAGTGCAGCTTGTGGAGGCAGGGACGAGTTTGGCATGTTTGTGACACTGCAAGAAGCCAGTGTGGCTGGGGAACCAAGGGGGAGAGAGGGGAAGACATAAGGTGGGTTTTATAGGCATTTTTAAAAAACATAATGGAATCCTGTAGAAGACTTAAAACGGCGAGTGATATGATCTAAATTACATTTTTAAAAGATAATTTTGAGTCCTGTAGGGAGAAGGATCATAAGTATAAATATCAGTGAGGAGCCTTTTGGAACCATTCAGGTGAGATATGATGGTGGCTTGGACTATGGTGGTAGAGGCGGATGTGGCAAGAAGTGACAATTTGGGATATACCTTAATTTATTTGGATTAAGTTTGCAAAGTGAGGGGGAAAGGAATCAGTGCTGATCCCTAGGTTTTTGGCATGAGCAACAAGATGGTGCCATTAATTGAGGTGGGGGTCAAGACATGTGGGGCAGGAACAGGTTTAGGCAAGAAAATAAAGAGTTTGCTTTAAACAGGTTAAGTTTAAGATGACTGTCAGGCAACCGAGTGAAATGTTGAATAGCTATTTGGATACTAGTCTGGAGCTCAGGTGAGAAGTCAAGGTTGGAGATGAAATATATGTGACTCATATTAATGGTCATGGTACCAGGACACTAGATGAAACTTCCTAGGAACTGAGGGATAAAGAGAACAAGAAACCTGAAGGCTGACACCTCAGATTCACCAAACTTTAAATGAGGAAGAGAAGGGAAGCCCAGAGAGGAGACCGAGATGTGGTGGCACCATCAGGAGGAAGTGACCTTGAGTTTCCAGGAGCCAGTGGCAGCTATGTGCATGTTACCAAATAATACTAACAATGACATGCCCAGTAATCTAGCTCTGTTTAAGTTTTTCAATATATTGTATTAATATAGTTTAGGAATTTTATACTGTAATTAGTCCTACAGTAACAGGAAGTCTGTGAAATCTAAACATAGACTTATTTTGTATTGTAAGTCAGTATCTCTTCTCTCTTTTAATGTAGGAGACCTCACTAAACAGCTTCCCATCATGGTGGTGGGGGAGCACAAGGATAAGGTGATTCAGTGCAGATGGCACACCCAGGACCTGTCCTTCCTGTCGTCCTCTGCGGACAGAACTGTCACCCTCTGGACTTACCGTGGATAGAGCATGCCCAGTGCCTGTCTGGGCCGTGAAAGCGCGGGACTGAAGACTACTGATTGTGACAATTCCAGATTTGAAGAACGCAGACTGACCAGGAAAGTGGCTTAGCATGAGGAGGCCCTTTGACCTTGTAGCCCTTTGGTAGGAGCTGTGGGCGTGAATTCCGCAGTGCTTTCGGTCTTCCACGTGAGCTCGTGCTGCTGTGACCTGCTGTGTGTCGTCTTGTTGCCAAAGTCTGCGGAAGAGCCCTGTGTTGTCAGTGTGCACTCCAGTCAAGGTGGACGATGTGTTTACGGTTTAGTATTAAAGCATTCCTTGGTCTTTGCCGAAATAACAGTTTTATATACACATGAGATGGAACTGTACTTTAAGCATATTATTACATGTAATGCAACCAAGTTCTACACAGATAACATAGGTGTTCAGAAGTTATTTTGTTTTTCTCACAATCCCATGATAATTGTATCACTTGCCAGCTAGGGGTCAGAATTTTATGTCTCTTGAAAGTTACATGGTGGTTTTCACTGAGGATCATTCTTGAGTTTAAAGATGGAGGGAAACTGCTTCTTAGATCATTATGTGGTATAGGCCTTTTCTTTTTTCTTAATCCAGGGATATAATTACTATTTTGTCACCTTATTTTGTTTCATGCTTAAAAGGCAAATGTGTTTGCTTCAGAAACTTGTTAATTTCAACTTTTTGAATGCAACAAGATACCTCCCTTCCAAACTGTACTGTAGGGCAGAGCAGCAGCGGGTGTGATGCAACACTTGACGGTGCAGTCAATTTACTGGCCAGCATTTTCCTCTAAAAAATGAAAACTTTGCCATAGACTATAGCATGGCTTGAAATGCTATGTCTGCATGATAACTTAAAGATGGAAATTTTAAACTTTGCACTCCAAAAGCTTATTTGGGTTTTTTTCTTGCACTGTTTTGTGTAATGCAGAATAATGATTTTATTTCTACGGCAGCGTAGATCCTAACACGTATCTTTATTTTCCTATTGTACAGCAATTTTACTTTAAATTATTAAATAGGCTATTTTATTTATTTTAAATGCAGTTGAGTTGGTTCTAATGATTGAACTGTCTGTGCACTGTATGTAGCAAGCATTTTTAAACTATTGTATACAAGTGGAAAGGGTATTAGAAGTGTAACTGTGCTATTATTTCAATAAAGACCTCTTGACACCTAAAACTATTCCTGCTTCTCAGTGTCTGTGGCTTTCAATTTAGAGGGTTATTTTCTCCAGTTTACTTGGAGGTAGTGTGTTCCGAGGGATGAGCAATCAATTTCTTAAGTTTCTAAAGTTCTTTCACTAATTTACTTTTTAACCCTTCACGACTGCATAAGTTTTGTGTCTTCTACCTCTTTAATTCAAGATCTAGAGAACTTCCTATCTTGAATATATTCTGAAAGATGGTTAATACAAACCTGGAAAAATGTATAAATTCTAAGTTAGACTACAAATGAAGTGAGTGCTCTTAGAAAGAAATAAAATCTAATTAGTTTGTGGATATTCAGTAGATACAGTTTTGCTATCTCTTAGGCATGCAGAAGGGAACTCCACTGAAACAGGCTACAGTCTTTTCTTTACTTTCTTGCTTAATTTTACACATTTTAGATATACCAGGTCATTAGTGTTAGATTGTAAACTAGGAAAAATAGCAGGTTTTTTTTTTATTATAGACCAGCTCAACTTCATAGTAAAAATGTTCATAAAATTTTGGATCCCACATTCATCATTATCAAGGAGTAGCCTTGATCCTTCCATATGTGAGATATGGAACCCATTTTGCAGTGTAGTAGATAATGAGCACTAGAAGTTGTCTTGCTGCAATAAACATTTGGTTACATATGTCCTTCCCATGCCTCCACACTGTCTTCTGCATGGAGGTGAATAGACTTGGTTCATGTGGAAGAGAAAATAAGGGAACTGAAGTATCTACATTCTCTGGACCCTTCTTAGTGAGGAGTGCAGAAATTAACTCCGTGGTAAAAGCTTCAGAGGTCTGATTCAAATTTTATGTTTTACATGTTTAACTATTTTTAATTGTAATAAGCTAAAGCTACAATCAACAGAGTGAAAAGGCAACCCATAAAATTGGAGAAAATATTTGCAAATTGTATATCTGATAAAGGGTTAATATTCAGGATAAAGAATTCCTATACCTCAATAACAATCCCCTTCCCCCAAACAACCTGATTAAAAATGGGCAAAGGGCCCAGCTGGTGTGGCTCAGGGGTTGAGCGTTGACCCATGAACCAAGAGGTCCCCAGTTCCATTCTCGGTCAGGGCACATGCTTGGGTTGCAGACTCCATCCCCTGTAGTGTGGAGGGGGAGGGTGCAGGAGACGATGGATCCAATCAATGATTTTCTCTCATAGATGTTTCTCTCTATATATCCCCCTCCCTCCCCTCTCTCTCTGTGTCTTTTTAAAATTTATTTTTCTTCCCCTCTCAAATTAATATGAACACTTAAAAAAGAAAATGTTCTTTAAAAAATGGACAAAGGACTTGAGTAGACATTTCTCTAAAGAAGACAAACAAATGGCTAATAATAAGCTCATAAAAGGATGCTCAACACCACTAATCGTTAGGGAAATGCAAATGAAATCATGAGACACCATCTCCCATCCATTAGGATGGCCACTATAAAAAGTGTTGGCAAGGATGTGGGGCAATTGGAACTCTTGTGCACTATTGGTGAGAATGTGAAATGGTGCAGCCACTATGGAAAACAGTATGGTGGTTCCTCAAGAAATTAAAAATAGAACTACATATGATCCAGCATTCCCACTTCTGGGTATATACCAAAAAGAATTGCAAGCAGGGGCTTGAAGAGATATCCGTACACTCATGTTCATAGCAGCACTACTCAAAATAGCCAAAAGGTGCAGGCAACCCAAGAGTACATCAACAGATAAATGGATAAATAAACGTTGGTATACAACACAATGGAATATTCAGCCATAAAAACGGAAGATTTTGACACGTTACAACCTGGATGATCCTTGAGAATATTATACTACGTGAAATAAGCCAGCCACAAAAAGACACTATTGCTTCCACTTATATGAGGTTCCTACAGTAGTCAAATTCATAGAGATACAAAGTGGAATGGTGGTTGCCAGGGGGAAGTGATGAGATGTATAATGGGTCCAGAATTTCAGTTTTGCAGGATGAAAAAGTGAAGGAGATGGAATGGTTGCACAACGATGTGAATTATTTAATGACAATGAACTATACACTGAAAAAGTGATTAAGATGGTAAATTTTATGTCAGGTGTATTTTAATTTTAAAGAATTATAATAAGCAACACGCACGGTCAAGTACTACATTATATACCAAAATGTAAGACTTTAAAATTTGCTGCCAATAACTTGTGCACATCTCTCACTAACTCCTAGTGTGTAAAGCATATCCTTTTTTCTTTGGAGAGTTTCCTGAGATTGCAAGGCCAGCAGTTAAAGACAAAAACAAAACAATCCTTTTCATTCATCATAGTCCATTTAAAATATAATGCTTAGTAATACCTTAACTAATAAAGAATTTTAAAAAAATAAAAAATAAAATAAAATATAATGCTTAAAATAGACTTCCGGGTTTTATTGCAAGTGTTACACTATTAGAAGTTATAAAATAAATCAAGATTTAAAAAAATACCCTTCTCATCCGTTTTATATGTTTGGCTTCGTAGGTTGTCATTTGCAGAGCGTTCTGCAGGTGAAAATCCCTCAAAGGCCCTGGCGGAAAACCCGCCCACAGGGGCTGGCCCCGCCCCCTAGGCGGGCCAATCAGCGGCGGGCCCGGGAAGGACGCACAGCTGCCGGCCGAGCGGGTCGAGGAGGACCATCCACATAAGGCAGCGCTGGGCGGTTCGCGCAGGCGCTGAACACCTTCTCCGGCCGTCAGAACGGTCACCTGTCTTCCGGGAGCGGCCGCCGGCGACCGCAGACGTGAGTGTCACTGTGCTCGTGCGGCGGGCGGGCTGGCGGCCGGGACTGCGGGGTTGGGCCCGGCGGGTCCCGCGGGCGGCGGGGAGGCCGGGGCGGGGGCTGCGCGCGCCCGGGCCTGCGGGGAGTTCGCAGCGCCGCGTTTCCCGGGACGGGCGAGCCCCCTGCCCTTCACCTCCCGACCCGGCGGCTGTCTTGTCACGATTGCTGTTGGTTTCCCGGTTCAAAGAGCGGCCTGAGGAAGCGGGGCGAGCGGCTGCGAAGCCGACCCGAACGGACGTTGGGTGTTGTTGGTTTGGGTTCTCAACGAAAACTTGACGCGTCGTTTGAATAAATACCATTTCCCGAAGAGCCCGGGTTTGGCGGTGGTGAATTTTGAAAAACTCCAAATCTTATTTGAATGTGAAAAGTTAGAGGCAAGTTTATGCGCCGGTGGTGTTTTTCAGGTTTTCTGTGTGACGGTGGTGATGACGGTGTGGACCCGGCCCGCTGCATCATCATCATCATCATCACCACCTTCACCTGGCGGCTCTCGCCTCGCGCACCTCCATCCAGTCCGCCCAGGAAACTGCAGTCCGCCGCCCCCTGAACCTCAAAAGCTATAAGCGTTCTCAACTGTGGTCCGCGACCCTTGAGGCCAACGACCTTTTACAGGGTCGCTAAGACCTCCGAAAAAATAACTAA